TATGATAACATATATAATTGATGAAAAAAATCATATACAGTATTTGAATAAATAAACTTTACTAGCTTATTTATCTACTTCAGCTTAAGATATTTACTTATAGTAAATCTAAAATTTTTATGGAGTTTCAAAAATATATTTACTAGTAGTTTACTTTCTAGAGTTTCAAACCTAAAAAAGTATAGTGGATAATATTTTTTCAACAGGTTTCTTCTTTATAATAAAGTATTCTTGCCATAAATTAAATAGATAAAGTTTTATTTATTTTGTTATTAAAATAAATAAAGTTTTTTAAAAAAAAAATATAAACAGTGGAAAAACATTAATCTTTAAGAAATAAGATGCTAAAGAAAGTATATAGACTTTATTATCAAAAATAAAAAATATTTTTAAGAATGTTTACTTTTTTAAATTGATAAAAAAATCAGTAGAAAGAGCTTTTTCTTTAATAATTATTATAATATACTTGAAATTAATATTTAATTTATTAATCTTAAAATAAGTATATATTCATTTTTTTAATCTAGTAAGTTGAATCTAATGCTTTAAAAAGTATCAAACTGATATTAAATTGGTATCAAAATAGTACCGATCTATAAAAAATTTAATATATAAGTTGTGACCCATTTATTTAAATTTATAATAAATTTAAGTATCAAACTAATATCAAATTAGTATTGAAGTAATATTGTTAGGAGCTTTAATTAAATTTTAATTCTTTTTTTTATTTGTTTTCAATATTAAAAACTGATGTTTTAATTTGTTTTTTAAGATATTATTATATTGATTTGTTAAATAATTTATTAGTTATATTAATATCTTAATTTTTTTTTCTTTTTAATTTTCTTTATTATTATTTTATTATTAATTTTTTTTATTAAAAATGATTTACTTTTATAATTAATTTGTTTTCAATTTATTTTCTTTTTTGTTTAAATCTCTCTTTTTATATATAATATTATTTTATTAATTTGATTTTTCTTAATTTTCATGTTTCCAAAATTGCCATATTACTGATTTTAAATATTTTTTTCAAAAAGTACAATTTTATTCTTAAAAATAATTTAGTTTTTAAAGTTTTAAAACTCAAAATCAATTTTTAATTAATTTTTAAACCTTTTAATTATATTATTAATCTTAAAAACAAAATTTAAAATCTTTAACTGAAAAATATTTATTTATCAAATTGTAAGAGTTTAAATATATGAAAATAGTTTAAACAATGAGCTTGTAATTCAGTAAAAGAAAACCATAAAAAAAGACACAAGTATTTATTTAGAGAATAATTATTATTTTATTAACTCGAGTAAAGTACAAGTCTGAGTTTTTACAAAGATAGAAAGGCCTCTTTTTATAGCTATTCTCTATTATATAAATAAATATAAAAATACATAAATAAAAAAATATATTATTTATACATAAGTCCTTATTGATTCTTCTGGAAAGCTTATGTATCATAAATATAAAATAAGAAATAAAGAATAATATAATAAATGTTATGCATGCTTAATAATATCTCTTGTTTTTCAAATAAGTATAAATATAATTAAACACAATTAGTAATAAGAAATGATTAATAATATTCCGAATAATCCATAAGGTTTTTAAAGATTCTAATATATTCCAGGAAGTTCTGAACATTTCAATATCAATCAAACTCTCAAATTTTAATACAAAATAAATTACTCGATAGTATTTATCTAGAATTTAAATTAAAAAACTTTTTCTTTTATTAAAGCCAATAGATTAATATTATACATGTAATAAAGTTAAATTCTATTATAATATAGTTTTTGAAAAATGATTAAATTTAATTCCATTATACTATATATATATAGTATATATTATAAAAGAACAATATCTCTTAGGTGCAAAAGCATATAATAAGTTAAATACTAGTTTATCTACATAATTTATATTTAACTAATATTGAAAATAAATTTTAAAATAATATTAATATACTAGATATAATAAAGTAGTAACTATTCCTATTTACTCAAAATTATATAAAAAGATATAAAAGAAAAATAAAAAGTAAAAATAAAAATAAAGACTATTAAAACTAAACTAAGTTAAACAAATTAAAAATATATTAATTAAAATATACAGTATATTGTTATAATTATATGAAACAATCTTAATCTTAATTATACTATAAGACCTATATTGTATTTTGTAATTCAGATATTTTGAAAAATACTAATTTACTTTTGACAATCTATAAGTTTAAAATATATTTTCAAACAAGTATTAAATATATATTGTTACCAGGATATGGCGAGTCTGTCATTAAACTGAGGCTCAAGCTCACATATTAGTATAGATAGGGGTCTTGAATCGCTTGCACACCAAAGGTACTTATTAATAAACTCCTCTTTAGATACTGTTCTAATCTATATCACAAGCTTTTTGTAATTTTTCAAGATTCTACTAGCGGCAAGTACTAATCAAAACAAGCTTATTAATTATCTTGATGCAATTACAAGTTTATTCAATATTTGATTGTCTCTATTTATTTTATGGTATCACATGTATAGGTCTCTTTTTCTTGATTGTTTTTATTATTATTCTTATTATTCTTTTCAGTCATTAGCAATTTACTACTATTCATAGTAGTGCCAACACGTCTCTTCCAACTCACAATGCATCCTGCAGCTAGCTAATACATAATCTGATGCATTAGTGATATCGTGTTATGCCCAAGTCTAATTTACTATACTGATTATAAAAATACCTATTACTATTTATATAAAAATATATAATTTTTATGCCAACATATCCTCTTTACATTTAGGTTATGCACCCTGTGCATATCATTTACCCAAACCACCAGTTCATAGTATCGCTTCAGTATCTTAGTATTAATAGGGCTAGCTAACACTTGTCCATCCATAGTCCAGAGCTTATAGACATTTTTGATAAGTATATTGTGAACATAGTATGGTCTACTCCACTTTGCAATGAATTTATTGCTTTTGAAATTCTTCAATACTGCCTGGTACATTAAGACCTTATCACCAATATCGAATAATGCAACTATCATGTTGCAACTATCATGGTAAGTCTTTTGCTTTGCCTGTACCTTTGCTACTCACTCTATTACTTTTTCTCTTACCCGGGATAACTGTTTGATTAGGTCATACGTATGCTGCAAAATTGTTCCCTTCAATAAATCCTCGGTCGCACTAGAGTGTATTGATTGTTGTGCCTCGCATTCATATACAAGGTAAAAAGGTATCATTCCAGTTGTTGCATGCTTCACTGTTCGGTACACAAAGAGAATAGACGGAATCATCAAATCCCAATTAGTCATGTTCTGTATTAGTTTTGCTATAGCTTCACATAAGGTATGGCTATATATTAAGAACAATACAGGCTTTATTTCATGCCATTGAATCATATACAAAAGGTGATTTTCATTATTTCACCTCTTTTTATACAGAATGCTGTCTTTATATACATATTTCTTACTTTCTTTCTGCAATTGCTACCTTCCTTCTTTATCAAGTGTTGGCGATATTTCTTGATACTGCAAGTAATACTTAAAATAGTTGAATTGCATAGTCTCCATTTTTTTATTTTATTTTATAGATTTTATTATGGTTCTGCCAAGATACCGGAACCTGGGTTGGATTCTGTTTCTTGGATTTGGTTGTTTTTTTTTTTTTCACAGTAGTCTTACTCCTTCTATCTTTTCTCCCCTTTATTGATTAACTTGTAATAGTTTTAGAAATGGGACAACACATCAGCATTGTTATGTTTCTTGCCATTGTGATGTACAATTGTAAAATTAAAAGATTGCAGTTTCAAAATCCATCTTATATGCTTTTCTGATAGCTTTGCTGTCTGTAACCACTTCAATATTAGGTGGTTGGTCACTACTACAAAGAGGTTTATATGTAATAATGCTAATAATATTTAACTGCTCATAATATAGCAAGACACTTCAGCTCCATGGTGACATAATTTTTCTCATGCTTGTTCAATTTCCTACTAGTGTATGATACTACATACTCCTTATTTTCTTCATCTTTTTGGTTCAAGACTATACTTATCCTGAATCCAGAAGCATCAGTATATACAAAAAATGTTTTTGTGAAGTTAGGATACCTTAAAACCAGTATAGTAACTAAGTACCATTTCAATGCCTCAAACGCATGATTTTGCTCTGTTTCTTACTTGAACTTAACATTTTTTTTCATCAAGTATGGAGTGGTTGTGCGATTGTTGTGAAACCTAATATGAATCTTTGGTAATATGATACTAAACCTATAAACCCTCTCAATTGTTTTAAATTCTTTAATACGGAAAAGTTCTTAACTTTATCAACTTTTTCTTCATCAGATTGAATACCTCTCCGGCATACAACATGTTCCAAAAAGGTGATGCTCAAGCGAAAGAAAGTGCATTTCTCGAAGTTAAGTTTTAGTTTGGCTTCTTTCATCTTTTGAATCACCATATTAACATGCGCCACATGACTTTCGAAGGTTTCAGAGTAAATGTTTACGTTATCTAAATATACCATCACAAACTTTTCTATGAATTCACTTAACAACGTATTCATCAGTCTTTGAAATATTGCCAGGGCATTATATAATCCAAACGGCATAATGTTTTATTTGTATATTCTCCAGTTTATCACAAAAGCAATCTTCTCACGATCCCCTTCCTCTATTATTACTTGCCAATACCCTGACGGTTGACATTGAAGAAAGTCTCAATTAGATCATCCACTCGGAGTAAGGGGTAAGTATCCTTCTTAGTTACAGCATTCAGTTTGTAATAATTGACATATAATCGTAGTCTTCCTCCTTTCTTTGGTATGACCATGATCGGTGACATCCATAGGCTTCTTGATTCCCAGATTAAACTCCTTTTCATGAGTTGTGAAACTTCTTTCTTGATAAACTTCTTTATATCTGGTGCCGCCCTGTATGCATTTTGCTTAATTGGTTTAGCTTCTTTAGTGTTGATACCATGTCATACTATGTCAGTACATATCAACTCTTGTATGCTCTATGCGAATGCATCACATTCTTTCGTCAGTATATCTTTTCCTTATTGTACTTGACTTTCGATCAATTCTTCATTCATTATCATTGTGCTAACTTCTTTTTCTATTACCACTTCTTCTCTACTCTTTGTTGATAATTCTTCTCTTACTATCACACCATCACCTTCTACTAGCAATTCTTTTATCACTTCTATAAACACATCTTTATCATTATTATCAACTTTTTCTTGTTCATCATTATTCATACTTCCTCCTGCTTTTTTGTTTATTATGGCAGGCTTATCTATCTAAACTAAGTATGCTGTGGAACCTGGTTCCTCAGATTGTACTTTATCATTAGGATCAGAGTCACTACACAATTCCTTAGTGTAGGATTCATCTTTTTCCTCTACTTCTTCTTTTTCATATGTGATCTCATCAAATATTTTCTCTGTATTATCTTCATCAGTCGATTCGTTACTGTCAGGTTTGATATTTGGTACTCTTTTTACTTTATTGTTAGTGATAGGAATCTTGATTTTTTTTTCATCATATCTGATCACAAGTTTCTGCTAGTTATAGTAAATTTTAGCTTTCATCCTTTCGAATCAGTCATTTCCCAACAGCAATGTCTCGTCTTTGGAGTTAATTATCTGGAGCGGCATTGGGATCAAGGTTTCTTGTATAAATATCTTTAGATTATTGATAGTTCTCAGTATTCTTGTTCTTAAACTAGTAACAGATACTATATTTGTAGTTGATTTCTCCTCGATCTTTAGTTTTAACCAATTCATCAACCTACTTGATATGAAACTTACAGTGGCTCCCGTATTAACAATAGTATTTACTTTCATATCCTTAATTTTTATTTGGCATTTTATTATGGTTATTTTTTTTCTTTGACTTTCACATAGTTGGTTTCTACCGAAACAAGTGGTCTTCTCATTACTCTTGCCAGTATTTCTCTTTGTTCTGAAAACTGTAGTATCTGTCCTATCGTAGCATTGGCAGGTGTTGCTAGGATATCCTTCAGAATGTTATAGGAGGGCATTCTGTTCAATTCTGAGGGTCCCCTCTTTCGTTATGGCTTCTTTCTAGCTGGCATTGCTTTCTCTATTTCCTTATCCTCGTTGGGTATTGGCATGTCATTATAATACTCAGGGTTTTGCGAATCAAGCTTCAGCCTGTTTCTTAAACATCTGTCCCAGTTGGATCCTGGTTCCAATACCTTTTTTTTTTTTTTGTTATCTTGGACTTCTCCTACATAAGCTTTCCTTCCTTTTCCTTTATAATTCTCCATAATGAGGAACTGAACTTCTTTGGTTTGCTCCATCTTTTTCATTGTATTGTCCTTTTTCAGACAGTTCCTGACTCGATAGCCTACCTCACCATACTCATAATATTCTCTGTTCATTGCTTTTGGTTTGCTTCCTGAATTTTCGACAGGTGTGTTGAGTTTATCAAACTGTGCTTTCATGTCTTGCATCTGTTGTGTTAACTCCTGAATTCTTCCTTCCAGCTTTTTCATCTTGCCTGACTCCCTTTCATCACCAGATGTCTTAAACTCTCTATCCAAGTTGGCTTACATTACTTGTTCTAGGATTTCGTTCAGAGTTATATTGGTTGTAGTGGTTGTGATGGTAAGTACAGTGGTAGCCTTTTTTTCATAACCCTTCTATAAAGATTCTAAAATCTCCTCTTTCTAACAGGTCATTATTGGGATCGACCTTCCTTTGCAGTTTTCAGAACCAGTGTGTATATGCCATTACTTGTTTGTCACCTCTCTGTTTAATATTAACTAGGTCAGTGTATCATTAATGTCATTATTCGTGGGTTACAAAGGTTTTCAGGAATAATGGTATAAAGCTTCTCCTTCGGTCCTCTTCATCATCCTAGTACTCAAACCGCTGTTGTTGGTAGTTGTACCAATCTCCTGCATTACTTTCCAAATGGCTTATTAACATTTTTAACTTTCTTTCGTCTAATCAGTTATTGGCTTTGGCAACCCTTTCATAGAACTCTAACCATATATATGGGTCTTTACCTTTTTCTATTAGAATTCTCATGCCCTTATCCATGGTATGTCTCTTTCTTCAATTGTTTTAAAGTATTCTTTTGATTCATCTTATTTTCTTCTATACTTGTTAACTCCTTTATCAAAAAAGTCATTTTTCATTAGTCTGTCTATCCCAAAATCTATTTTATAGATTAGTAATTCAATCACTGTTATATTATGAGATTTCATATGATGCAAGTACTCTTTTGGTTATAGTCTGTTTTTAATAAACAATAGGTGATAATTAAAGTTTTTATGATTTAGGTATATGTGCAAAATATCAGGGGGAGAGGAAGAGGTAGTGAGTGTTGCTTTTTATATTATCTGCTCCAGTTCTTCACCAAATGTTGGGCTCAATAGTGAGTCTGTTACTAGTTCAGACCAAAACTCGGGTAACATTAGGTAAATAGATTTATATTACTGGTGATACCAAAGGTATGTATAGTGATAATTATTCTAATCTTCCCTTACATTTAGCTAGTCTCCTTCTCCAATTCTTTCCCTATTGAACTATAAGGCCCTGGATTCTTCTTAAGGCAACTAAAGACAAATAAGATAAGTTTATTAATTATCGTTGCATAGGTACAAACACTTGGCTTTTCAGTGAATAGTATTTTATTAATTTGTTCTCTTTCTCTTTTATATTTGAACATCATTTCTATTTATATGACTGCAACACGTCTCTAAATCTATCGTCCTGTTATGCAGAATTGTTAAACTTTGACAAGCTTTGTGCTCATCAATTATACATAATTTATGCATAATCGATGCCCCATGCGGTACTACACTGGGCCCCACATATTACGTCATACTTTCTTTTACAATTTTTAGGCTAACAATACCGAGATTTCTAAAGCTGTGAATTGTTCCCACTTTTCTATAATATGTATTTTAGAAGTATACAAACTTAAAACATTGTTCAAAAAACGAATGGGTCATCCATGAATTCTTAGTGAATCTGTATACAAACATTTCAAGACTTCAGTAACTTGAAATAAAAATTCTCAGTATCAAATTCTTTTTCAAATTCATTCAACCTACCTAAAAAAAAACATAAATATTTCTATACAAACCATTAGCAAAGAATTGGTCAGAAAAGGAGTTCACTCATGAGTTCCCTGCTACAACCACTAATTTCAAAAAAAAATAAAATCAAACATCTTTCTTGGGCACTTAATTATGAACATTGAAAAGAAGAAGACTTTAAAAAAATTATTTGGTCAGACAAATCTATCTATACATAATTTCAAACTTTGGGTTTTGAATATGTTTGGTATAGATCGTTCGAAGAGTTTCATAAAGATTGCATTTCGGCTACAATAAAAAAAAGTCCAGGTCATATGTTTTAAGAGTGTTTTTCTTGGGTTGGATTGGGTTTACTAATTTCTCTAATCAGTTATATTACAGACTTCGTGTATCGTAATATTCTTGAAGAGTATATCGTTCTTACAGTTAAATTGTATACAAAAAAAATAAAAAAAAAATTTCTTTTTCAAGAAGATAACATATCTGTTCACATCACGAAAGTCACAAAATCTTTTCTTATCTCCTCAAAAATTGAGCTTTTACCTTGGCCAGCTCAAAGTCCTAATATAAATCTTATTGAAAATATTTGATCATATGTCGAGATTAAAATTCGTCAATATAAAACACAACCTTCAAGTATTGTACAATTATAAAAATATATTAAAGAGGAATAGGAAGCCATATTAGCAAGTTATTATAGAAATTTAATTAAATTAATACCACAAAGAGTTTAAGCTATTATTGCATCAAAGAGAGATTATACAAAATATTAAAATTATTATATAAATAATTAAATAAAGTTAAAAATAATAATATAATTTTTTTTTATTAATTTAAAAAAAATATTTAATACTTCTTTCATCCTCCTATATAAAGATAGATTTCTAAATTATTTAGCATATAAAATTTCACAAATTAATTATATCTTTTTTAAAAAAACATAATTATTTATTTATTATTTTAATAGGAATATAATTCAAAAAACATTTGGATCAAGTGGCCTAAATTGCAAAAAACCTTTGTAGATGGTTTTTTTTTGATTTTATATTTTTAAAAAAACTTTTTTAATAGTAAAGAACATTTGAATTATGTTCTCACCTTTAATTTAAGGACTCATCTTTACTTATATACTATATATACTATATATACAGTATGCTACAAAAGTCTTTAGATTAATATTTTTTTAATATAATATAATAAATAATTATTTAATTTATATAAAACTTTAAATATATATTTTTATAATTTAATAATAAAAATATTCAAAATTATTAATAGTTAATTAATAATTTTATTATAAAAATATTGTTTAAATAAAATAAAAAAAAAAAAAAATTTTGACTAGGTTTTATATATAAATTTATATATACTGTAAATTATGATTAAAAAACTATAATTTTTTAAATAAAATATTTTAAAAAAATAAATTAAAAATCAAAAAATATTTTCTATTAAAAAATTTTATCAAAATTTATTTGTTTTTTTTATTACAGTATTTTATTTAAAACAATATTTTTATAATAAATCTATTAATTAATCATTAATAAAATTCTAATTTTCTTATTATTGGATTATAAAAATATATATTTAAAATATTATATAAATTATATGATTATTTATTACAGTATATTATATTAAAAAATATTAGTTCAAAAACTTTTATAATATACTATTGTTGTTTCTCAACGGCGAGTCTGTCGCTAATCCGGACCAAGACTTGTACTACGTTGGGAGCGTGAGTCTATGTTGCTGGCGATACCAAAGGTACATATGGTAATAATTATCTTAATCTTCTCTTATATTTAACTAGTCTCCTCTTCTAATCTCTTTCTTATTGCATGACAAGGCCCTGGATTCTCTTTAAGACAACTAAAAGACAAATAAGGTAAGTTATTTAATTATCGTTGCACAGGTACAAGCACTTGGTTTTTCAATGAATAGTATTTTATTAATTGACTCACTCAGATACATGATATTCGATCTATGATATGCTACATTCTATTTATATGCCTTGCGACGCGTCTCTAAATCTACTGTCGCGTTATGCAAAATTATTAAACTTCTACAAGCTTTGCACCCATCAATCATGCATGATTGATGCATAACCGATGCCCCATGCGGTACCGCGCCGGGCCTCACATGTCACGTCATACCCCCTACTATAATTTCTATGCTAATACTATA